TGGGTTTTGTTCCCTTAGCATATTGTCATGTATTCGTTCTGATTTTGGATAGATTTGACGCGCGTGGAGGCTGATTCGTGGGGCAAAGGCATCGCGAGCTAGAGTTGTAGCCGGTTCGAGGTGAGTAATGATTGTAAATGATGTCCTGAGGGTTTGAAACCCCGGATTGCACATCGTAGTGCTATATTGAGGTGAGACACGTACTGGATGATGAGCGTGGGGTCTTTTACTACAGGGGATTGCGACTTGGTCCGTCCCGATCGATGATATTACCGCGTATTTGACTGAAACTTATTTGTTATCATCATGATTTGAGCTGATTGCCATATTTGGGCTTCGTGCCAACTATTTGAATCCTTCAGGGATTTTATCACTGTTTTGACTTATTATTTGAACTCAGTCCTGTTGTTATCTACTATTTTACGAACTCAGCCACTTTTACTTAGATTTGAAACTTAAATGATATTTCTAAATGATGTTTTGTGCTGAGAACTACTGTTTTACAAATGCCCGAGGGGCTTGTGATGATTTTCGGATTGAGTGAGGCAGAAGGCCATATGTGAGGATATGCTGAGTGATATGAGGCCGAGGGCCTGAGATACTTTATGTGCCACAAGGTGCCTTGAGTGATGTGAGGCCGAGTGCCGAGAGATAATGCCACGAGGTGGCTTGATATATCGCTTGGGCCGTAAGGGGCCCCTCCGGAGTTTGCACCCCCATAGTGAGCACGGGTACCCATCATGATTTGAGAGTGAGCCCGAGGGGCTGATACTGTACTGAGAGTGAGCCCGAGGGGCTGATACTGTACTGAGAGTGAGCCCGAGGGGTTGATATTGTACTGAGAGTGAGCCTGAGAGGCTGATACTGTTCTGAGTGATTGTTACTGTGCCCGAGGGGCAGATTTCTACTTGTTATTTACCTGCTAAATTACCTATTTTACTTGGTTTAAAGGAATTTCATTTGACTTTTTCATGGATTTACTGCTTTAAGTGATTTTACTGCGTGATATAGAATTGCTTTGTGCCTTTACGTGTTTTCTTGTTTTCAACCATTATTTATATTTATTACTCACTGAGTCGGAGTACTCATATTACTCCCTGCACCGTGTGTGTAGATTCAGGCATCGCAGAGTCCGCTCCTGAGTGCTAATCCTCTTAGTCCAGGCAGTGTTTTTCGGAGACTACGAGGTAGCTATTGGCGTTCGCAGCCCCGTGCCTCCCTTATCTTACTATTTTTATGTTCTTGAACTTCTGTATTGGATTTCGTATCTAGTAGACTGGTATCCAGATTTATTAGTTTCCCATGACTTGTGACACCCCGGTTTGGGCTATGTCGGATGGTTTCTACTGTTGTCATCATTATTTCCGTAAATTATGGCTATTATATCATGTTTTAGAACTATTTATGTTATTTAAATGAGGTGTTCTCTTTTGGTTTGGCTGGCCTTGTCTTCACGAGAGGCGCCATCACGACCGGGTTCGGGGTCAGGGTCGTGACAATGCGCCACCCTCGGCAGAGCGCACAGACCCCCACTCCTTGATAAACCCCTTCTATTTGAGTAGACCTCCTCGCCAAGATGGCGTCGGCCATAAAGTTGGTACCGGTACCGTCTCCGATGCACCTGTCCTACTCTTACCAGTATCAATGACCACGCTCTTCCGGAGCTCTATCCTTCTTTTTTTTCTCAACAAAGATTCGTCCCCATTAGAGAACTCATCCACGAGATGATGGAATGGTAAAGAAGAGATCTCTCCCCTCACAACCATATCCCGAGAGGAGTCCCTCACCTATACCGGTTGAGCACGACCCTCTCGAGCAGACTCATCCAAAGTGAACCGCATTCCTGCGGAGGCGACGGTCTAGCGAAATGCAGGGACTAGAGCCCTCCGCCTAGAAGCTCCACAACCTATCATCATAAAGAGTCGTATCAGTAGACAATGGTATATAGCCGAAAAGTGATATAGATGAAAATACTTACCAGATGAAACTTTCGGCACAAAGCATTTCACAAAAGCGGGCCAGTCTCGAGTCTCCGCTCCATGAAGCAGCAGACGGGCTACCCAATCCCTATACCTGCAATGGGGTGGGGTGGACACCCCATAGCTACAAAAGAGAGCCGCAAATAAACACTAAGTTGGACGAAGAAAAAAGAAAGAGTAAACAAGTTGCGACACTTACGATTCTCGTTCCACCGCTCCGGGAACGATGTGTTCAGTTCTGACGAAGAAGTACTTATGCCAAAATTTGTGACTCGCCCGGTCATCAGTTCTGACCACCAGCCCTTTTGTCCCACGGTGCCTCAGATGCACCATAGTACCCCTGTGAAAGCTAGGAGAAAACAAGTGTAGGAAGTGGTGAACGGTGACTTCGCACCCCACCAACTCCGCGTATTTTGTCAATACCAAGAGTATTTTGCACGTGTATGGGGAAAGCTGCGCCGGGCAAACCTGATAGAATCAACATAATTCTTCTGCTAACGGGAGAAGGTGGAAGGAATAACCAATCACAAAGCGGTATTCATAAAAAGCACAGTACCCCGGTCTATGGACTTCCACGAAGTCCCTTCCCGCTGGAATCATCTCAATATGAGTGGGAATGTTGTATTTTGCACGGAGGGCATCGATATGGACCTGCTCAGTTCCAGAAAATAATGAGGCGGGAATAGGAGGAGGCTCTTTAAGAATGTCATTCTGAGACATGGGGTGTCTCGGCAGTACGACAGTAACTCTTCCACGGTGGGAAAACTATCCCCTTCCTCCACCGTCATGTCCTCACCACCACAGGTGAGCGCCATGGACAACGGGGTGGTGTCAGAAATCCCCTCACGAGATCGATGTGTTCTAGGCATTTCTATGGCAAGAGATGTGTTAATATAACAGAAAAAACTAAGAACGGAGAATGGAAGAGAGAAAGCAAAGAAATCGTTAGAGCAAACGCGGAAGGGATGAGAAGGAATAACCAGAGATGAAATGGCCAAGAGTTTTTGAAAAAACAAACCCTCCACCTATTTATAGGATTAGGTGGCACCAGAATTGAAGCGGAAGGCTGCAAAATGGCACTGAAACCGAATTGACAAACCATCAGCCTCTGTCTCAAGAACAAGCATAATGATGACGCACGTGGAAGTGACATCATTTTCCGACAAGACACACCACCCAGGATATCGTTGAGCACGCTAACCTTCCGTTGTTGGCCAAACCATTGTGATTAGTAAACCAAATTTCTCTACAGGTGTGGGCGATGTTCGTTTATTGAGGACGCATCAAGCCGCAACCTCGACAAATGGAAGGACTAACTATATAGGTCAAAATTTGGATGACCACGGCTAGGGGTGTCAATGGTTCGGTTCGGTTGGTTATTTTATAAAATTTGTACCATACCAATTTTTCGGTTATTCTATTATATATAACCAAAATTAGACTTTTCGAAACCATCTCAATCATGTCGGTTTCTCTTCGGTATCGGTACGATTCGGTTAATTTTCGGTATTTTTTTAATATCATGTAAAATTCACCAGTAGAAGTAGAATTGCAATAACGTACGTTCTTTTATAGGACTTAGCAACACTTTCTATACATTTTTATTGTTTAAAGGGTGATGAATTTAAAAAAAAAATATGGCTATAGTATAGATCCATCAACTATTCTGCAACAGCGTAAAAGAAATCAAACAAAGGCAAAGAAAATATTAATCACACGAGTTGAAAGATATACCAAGTTGGGACTCAAGAATTTTAAGTCTATAGAAGATTAAATATTCAAAAAGATAAATCTAAATTATATGAAAGGAAACATATTCAATACATTATAGTTTGCTACTCATAATTGCTAGAATACTTTGTGTCTTGCTAATAAAGATACTTGAAATAACTTGGTTTAAGTAGAAGTAGCATAATAGGTTTTAGGAATTAGTATTTTGAGTTTAATTACTTGTTGGCTTGTAATAGTTTTCATAATTCCAAGGCTCAAAGAAAATTTAATGCATTATTATTTTTAAACTTACTAAATAAATATATTTTCTACATGTAAAATTTATTCGGTACAGTTCGTTTTTTTTCGGTTTATTTTTATAAAATAAAAAACCTACCCTAATTATCGGTGCGGTTATAAATTTATATAAAACCCTACGGTTTCTTAAAAAGAAACCTAAAAATCGGTTCGGTGCGGTACAGTTTGGTCGGTTTTCGAATATCCATTGACACCCCTAACCACGGCTACTGACGAATACGACAAGGGACGAGATCCTTACGACACGGCGTCTTGTGGCCGCTGAAGACGGCGACGACTGACAGTGGTTAGAAGACTCGAATATTCTCGAATATTCTCTATGCTATATCTTTTAGGGTTCAAGAGGGGGTTGTCCCTTATAAATAGGAGGGAAAGACTTTGTAAAAACTACTGACTTTTGGCTAAGAGCATCCATTATAATATCTTTCTACATTCAAAGTTGTGATATTGACGATTAATCATTCGGTTTCATAATATCAAGAAACATTATTCATCTTATTCATCACTTGCATCCTTCAATCTAGAGTTTATTATACTTGGCTGAGATTTACCTCATCTTCTTTAATTGATTTAATCAAAAAGATTTCAATATCTTTTGGGTCAAACAAATTTAATGCCCAATTTTTGCCCTTAGAATTTTGAAAGCTAAATTGACACAACTCGACTGCGTATTTAACGTACCAAGAAGAAAGAGTGGAAAATTCTTCTGTCCCCTCCACTCTGTCACGAAAAGGCGTAAGTTTAGGGAATAAAACAAAATAAGAAAAAGGTTTTTATATGGAGAAAAAAGTTGCAAGGAACGTGATCTTTATATCCCCAGCAGATTGTCATCATCGTCCATTAACGTGGAAAAAGCACCAATAAAAGCAGATTCTCACTACCACTGTGCGCTATGGCATTCTGCTCCTTTATACGTCCTCAGTTGAAACGTTCTTAATTGTTTTTAAAAATCAAATTGCTTTAATTATATTTTTCTACTCAAATTACATTAACAATTTAAAATTTCACATCCCGTTAAATACAATTGACTAGGAGAAAGTGATTCCAAAAACAACCAAATGTAAACTTAACGAAATCTAAATTCCAGGACATAATCTTAGGAAATTACCAAAATATGAAAAGAGAAAGTGCGGCTGACTGCTCCCATCATCCACCCCACACTACAGCATCCAGATCTTGCAGCTAACAGAAGCTTCTCTTTAGTCTCTCTCTCTTTAGAATTCTTTGTGGAACAAAAACCGGAGATGATTTGGGAAAAGAAAAATAACTTAAGAGAGACCTTAAAAATAACACCATGAGAGTAGCAGCTCATCTTATGAGCATCTTTTTCATACTATTACTGCTTACATCTTTCACAGCTCAAGATTTGGTTGCCAAGGAAAACACAAGGAGAATTCTGCATCAGCCCCTCTTTCCAGTTAGTTCAACACCACCACTATCGCCGCCACCGCCGCCGATAGAGCCGGTCATTTCCAGTCCAGACCAGCCTTTCTTTCCAGAAGTCCCTACTGGGACTACACCAGATCAGACACAGCAACCTCCAGCAAGTCCAATTAATGGAACTCCAGTGTCAAATCCAGTTGCCACACAGCCAGCAAAGCCAGTCAAGAAAGTGGCAATTGCAATATCAGTTGGGATTGTCACCTTGGGAATGTTATCTGCCTTGGCATTCTATATTTACAAACACCGCGCTAGACACCCTGATGAAACTCAAAAGCTTGTAGGGGGCAATAATCAGAGGATCAATGAGGAATCAAGAATGCCACCTTCTACTTTCCTTTATATTGGGACAGTTGAGCCATCTGCTCAAACAACTGTGACTCAGTCCAATGGTGCTAATGGCTCACCTTATCGAAAATTGAACTCTGTTAAAAGACCGGATAGGTATAGGCCAAGTCCTGACCTTCAACCCCTTCCACCACTTAGCAAACCCCCACCCCCTCCTAGCATGGATTCACCCACTGCAATGTCATCATCTGATGAGGAAAGCCGTGACACTGCATTTCACACTCCACAAGGCTCCTCTGTTAGCAATGAAGAAGGTTATTATACTCCCAGTTTAAAGCAGAGTTACCAAAGCAACAAGAATTTTGTCCCTTACTCAAAGAGAACTTCTCCAAGATCACGCCTATCTGATTCATCCCCTGATGTAAAACATGCTATAATACCATCCATTAAGCAAGCTCCAGCTCCACCACCACCGCTACAACCACAAGGGGGTCATTTGGAACGACTTCCACCTGAGCCTCCCTCGCAGTATACTAAGCCAGTACTGCCATTTCTGCCAAAAAGGGCTAAATTTTCATCACCACCTCCTCCACCAGACATGGCAAAGCTTCAATTGATAAGCAACCAAGCCCAACAAATATTGAAGGCACCACCACCTCCTCCTCCTCCTCCTCCCCCTCGTCCTCCTCCTCCACCCCCACTTCCAGTCTCAACACCCCGCAAACCGGGAGGATTACAAGGAAGTGTTCTTTCGACAGCTTCCCCTCAAATGGTTAGGACAGAATCGAGGAGTCCCACTCCAAAAACAACACCAGGGAGTGAGAAGACAAGTTCTTCTGAAGAGGAAAACAGAGATGCCAGTTCTTTAGAAAGACATGATTCTGGCGATACAGATCCTTCCAAGCCTAAGTTGAAGCCTTTGCACTGGGACAAAGTGCGAGCAACCTCTGATCGAGCCACAGTTTGGGACCAACTAAAATCGAGCTCCTTCCAGTAAGTAGACAATCAAAGATGTTAAAGTCCGATTACCAGCAACACTAATATCTTATATAAGTACTACCTTTTGTATTGCAGATTGAATGAGGACATGATGGAGTCACTTTTTGGATGTAATTCAGCAAATCCAGTACCAAAGGAAGCAACAAGGAAATCAGTCCTTCCTCCTGTTGAGCAGGAGAATAAGGTACTTGACCCCAAGAAGTCACAGAATATTGCCATAATGTTACGAGCATTAAATGTTACCAAGAATGAGGTTTCCGAAGCCCTTCTAAATGGTATGTAATCTCTCATGCCTCTGCACTAGAATTCGGATTCAGTATTTTGTACATACTCTGGATATGCATGCCCAAACAGGTGAAACTGCAATCTTTTTTGCACAATCAAATAAATGAATAAAGTTTGGTATATAACAAGCATATACATTAAATTCTGATATTGCCTAGGACCTATAGATTAGATAAGATTTAGAAAGGTTGAATCAAGTCCATTACTAGAAATAGCCAGCGAGCATTTTTCATATGGTATTTTTCCTGCATACTTTCATTCTCCTTGCGATGAGAAAGCCATTTCAAATGCATATCTTTCTAGTTCTCCAGCTGTAAGTTCCTAAACACAATTGCACCATAGTGATCATGCGTCTAACCCATAGAATTCTCAAGAATTTCCTAATACCATTCCGTGCCTCGGAGAATATTCAAATTATCTCAGCAGAATAACGAAAGTTTCCTATTTCAAAGGTAAAAGCTTATTAGTTCCGCTTCTCATTAGGTAATAGCTCCAACCTCTTCAGAAGAGCAAGAAAACAAAAAACAACATATATCCAAACAAACATGAGGTCCCGCATTTATTTCATTAAACAATTTGAAGTATTTAGACAGAATATCCTTTCATCTGTTTTTTAATATTTGTAGTATTCCTGAAAACTTATCTGTGATTTGTCTTGCCAGAAAATATGTGTTCAACATAATAAACAATTTTATCTAGAAGCAGCATATCATTTTCATTCTTGCTTTTAATGATTTTGTGAATCTCCCTGAAAACTCTATCACCATTTTGCCCAACCAAACATTTAAGACATGCATGCTAGATCAACTTAAACTACATCTGTTGTCAGTCTCAAGTTGTGCCATGTTTTGAACCACGAGCGTTAAACATGGCAAGTACACCAGGGGGCTTAATTAATCACATATCTGCAGTTCTGCATATATCAAAATAATTTACGTGCGACACAATGTGTTTCTGTGTTGCAGGAAATCCTGAAGGATTGGGGCCTGAACTTCTGGAGACTTTGGTCAAGATGGCTCCAACAAGAGAAGAAGAGATAAAACTGAGAGAGTACAGCGGAGACACCTCCAAATTAGGGCCTGCAGAACAATTCCTCAAGGGAGTGCTTGATATACCATTTGCCTTCAAAAGAGTAGAAGCCATGCTTTACAGAGCAAATTTTGTTGGTGAAGTAAAAGATTTGAGAAAGTCCTTCCAAACTCTTGAGGTACTAACAACTATCTATTTAAATTTATACTGTCTAGAAGAGCTTAAGGGTCATTTATATTCATGTGTTAATAATACGTCTATAGTTTGATTAGGGAAAAAGTCTGATGCTTATTCTATAAACTAGGACATTCTGTATGAAACCCAGATAACTATTATGGGACGGCACATTCTTCCACCAATGTACATTAATATAGACTAATTCAGACTACGATTTCTCAAGAGTTGATCAGATGTATCTGTACCCTTTTATTATCTCATTTTAACCCTTCTTTACACAAGTATTACTGAACTCAATGACTGTGATTTCTCAGGATGATGTGACATAAATATGTTACTCCCTCTGACCTCTGTTTCAAATAGATTGGCACTATTTCCTTATTAGTCCGTTTTAAAAAAATTGTTACGTTTCAATATTTCCTTAATAGGAAGCATTTATAGCCACACAAATGCTATGGTTTATTTAAGACCACATATCTCAAAAGTCTTTCCTTCTTTATTAAAAGTTTGTGCCAGGTCAAACTAGGACAATCTTTTTGAAACGGAGGGAGCATATATTGACGCCCCCAGGGTCTTAGCTGCACTAAAACTTTTACATTAGTGTTCTTTATACCTGAATTTAGAGTTGAATTTAAAGCCTTCAATTACTTTATTAGCATGGATTACCTTTCTAAGAATCTTGACTACAACAAATTATTCCACTGGTAAACTTGAGCCACTCTCAGAGGAATGCTGTACTAATTACCTAAAAGACCTTATCTAGGCAAAATTTTCTGCTAATATACCTGGATTTAGACCTTTCTTCCGATAATTTAATAGAATCATAATAACCCTGGTGCATTGCACATCATATGGACAGGTAGCCAGTGAAGAACTGAAGAATAGTAGACTATTCCTCAAACTCCTCGAAGCTGTTCTAAGGACAGGAAACCGCATGAATGCTGGAACTAATCGCGGTGATGCCAGAGCTTTCAAACTTGACACTCTTTTGAAATTAGTAGATATAAAAGGAGCAGACGGGAAGACAAGCTTGTTGCACTTTGTGGTGCAGGAGATTATCAGGTCGGAAGGGCTGGGTTCTGAACCCCCAGGCGATAATCTTTCTGATAATGCAAACATCAAATTCAATGAGGAAGATTTCAGGAAGCAAGGTTTGCAGGTTGTTGCTGGATTAAGCAGAGAACTTGGTAATGTCAAAAAAGCAGCAGCAATGGACTCAGATGTCCTGGGCAGCTATGTCTTGAAGCTTGAAGTGGGACTTGATAAAGCAAGATCAGTTTTGCAGTATGGAAAGGAAGGTACGCAAGGTAACTTTTTTGAATCGATGAAAGTGTTTCTTAAGGAGGCAGAAGATGGAATAGTGAGGATCAGAGCAGAAGAAAGAAAGGCCTTATCCATGGTCAAACAGGTAACAGAATATTTTCATGGTGATGCTGCAAAAGAGGAAGCTCATCCCCTGAGAATATTCGTGATCGTGCGAGACTTCCTCTCCATATTGGATAATGTGTGCAAAGATGTTAGGAGGATGCAGGATCAAACAGTGGTTGGTGGTGCAAGATCATTCAGAATAGCTTCAACTGCATCACTACCAGTCTTGAACAGATATAATGTGAGACAAGAACGGAATTGGGATGATGATAGCTTATCTCCATGAAATTTATGTGAAAATAATTCAACCATCTCATTAATGGACAAGCACAGATGGAGGATGATGGTGGAAAAGAAACACCAGATTGAAGCAGTCTCACATCTCAGGGAGACACTAACATTTTGGTGCTAGCAGGCAAATATAGCATTCAGCTCCATAAACAAGAAGCAATAAGTGAAGGAACAGTACAGAGATTAGGCAGCCTATACGTCAATCCTTCACAAAGATACAGAAGATTAGACAGCAAGAATTCTAGGATTCATAATCAACCTTCAATCCAAACGAATCGATGCGGGGTAAAGGGATTATTCCTCTTTTTACTTTTGAGACGGGTAAACGAATCAACCTAGGCATAGTCCTATTCATTTGTAAACATAGTCAAGAGACATAAAAGTTCAATGCCAGGCGACATGATGGTCTGCTCTCGATTTTGATAGTAAAATGCTGCAATACAAAGAAATTATGTCTCCTTTATAGAATAAACATTCTTTACACTTTTGTCTAACTTAGGTCCCCTAAAGCTGTTTAACCAGCAAATTAAGTGGATATTACAGAAAGCATGTCCGGAATTAGGCCCCGCAGCCACTATAAATACAAGAAGATGAATAAAAACTAAACAAAGCAAAGCATTTTATGTAGCTTAATCTACTCTTTGGATATACAAAAGCCCTTCCTAATGTAGACAGGTGGATCCAACAAATATACAGGATGTATTTTACGTATTGTGTTAGACTTGGAGTTTTATAAATGTACATGGAAAATTTAAAGATGAATTGTAAAGATATGTATATATATATATATATATATATTTAACAGGTGCATCTGGTAACTTTAAATTCTGAATAGCCTCATGTAATAGTAACTCCATCAATGATCAATACTAGTAAAAATTCATGGTAGACATACCAAATGACTGTAAAAGTGCCTGCTTTGCTGCTGCAAACCTGTTTAATAATTGTACTCAGTGGTGGAGCTACTCTTATGGGAGGTAGTCAGAAAATGACACTGTGTGATAGGTAAAAACTTATTTTTATTATGTATATAAACTATTGGCCTCTCCACCGGGTAGTGATAAGGTCTGTATACACTCTACTCTACTCTTTCCGACCCCACTCGTGAGATTATACTAGATTTATTGTTGTTGTTGTTGTTGTTATGTATGTAAACTATTGAATCTCATTGACTTATTAGTGTGTTTATTACTTCATATTTTGACACCAGAAAAACCTGGCTCCGCCACTGATTGTACTAGCTCCTTATCATGCAACAGATATATGAAGGGGCCGCAATTTGAATGGGAATAATGGGTAAGGTGCAAGATGTCAATTTGAAAATGACTGGACAGGGGAGCTACAAAATGAGGGAAGGGTACACAGGCGGACATACCCGGACAGATGACAAGGCGCGCAGGTTCTTCAATGAATACAATTGTCTGCGTCACAGCACGCAAATATGCGTTTCTGCTGTTGATGATTTTGTGAAGCGATTTCCCCCAAGTAGGAGTCACCATTTCTTTCTCCTGGCGCTTGACGGGTGCGAATCGCCCTTCTGACTGGCTTACTCTCCGCCTTTTTTATTTGTTCAAAAAAATATAATTTGAAAAATAATTTAACTTTAAACTTTATTTTACAATCATAGAAATGTCATTGTTATATTTAAGATCACAACTTCTAAAAGCTTTTTTTTTAAAAAAAAAAACTCATATCTTGTAAACTCATATCTTTTACTCCCTCCATCCTTTATTTTATTGGACTGCACGCAAAATTTAAGATCTTAACTTAACATTAATATTAGTTGTGAAGAGTAGTTTAATATAGTTAAACTAGCTTTAGTCAGTTACAAGTAGTTAGTGGTGGGTCCCAGTTGACCATGCTTAGGTTGTTAGAACTGTAGTTAGTTGTTACAACTATAGTTAAGTTAGAGTATATATTTGTAATTACACTGATTTGGAAATATACAGAATCATATTTTCATTCTTTGCATTCGTCTTCTTCCTCTCTCAATTCTCAAACATTGCAGAGCTTCAGTCATGTTTGCATGGATGAATCTGAGATGTGAACTCAGATTTATCAAGCTCACATAGTATCAGAGCAGTGAAGATCTACAATTCTGCAAATTCTCGTTCGATTAATAGTAATTCCTCATCGTCTTCCTCACGAAGCTCCGACCAACGACCGTCAATGGCGACTGATAAAATCGATCACACGCATCCTCCGTTCGTACATCCTTCAGATACTCCTAGCTCAATTTTGATTCCTGTAAAGCTCACAAGATCAGAGAATTATGGATTATAGTGTCGATCAATGCGAATTGCACTGCAAGCTAAGAGGAAGCTAGGGTTTGTGCTTGGAACATGCAAAAAAGACTCATTCGAGTCTGAATTACCTGAAGATTAGGAAACATGTAATGCAATTGTGCTGTCCTGGATCATGAACACAGTCTCTCCAGAATTGCTTAGCGGGATTGTGTATGCATCTGACGCGCATTTGGTTTGGGAGGATCTGAGAGAAAGGTTTGACAAAGTGAATCGTGTGAGAATTTTTCAATTGTACGGGGAGATAGCCACCATTTCACAGGGAACAGATTTTGTATATGCATATTTCACAAAGCTCAAAGAGCTATGGGCTAAATATGATGCATGGTGCCCATTCCTAAGTCGAAGGAATATGTTGGGTACCTTCAATAGCAAAGGTTGATGCAATTTCTAAGTGAACTTAATGATACCTATGATCAGGCAAGACGACAAACCATGATGAAGACTGTAGAGCAACTTTGAATCAAGCTTATGCTTTAGTAATTGAAGATGAAAATCAAAATTCTAATTCCACGGTAGGAAATAGGGGTGATCCTATTACTATGCAAGCAGGTAGAGGACAACCAACAATACAAGTCAACTGAGGTCAATACAAAGGAAATAAGTCATTTGTGAAGTGTGAATATTGCAATAAGCCGGACCATTCTAAGGAGAACTGTTACAAACTTGTTGGCTATCCAGATAATTTCAAAAATAGGAGATCATATGCAGCTAACATAGTAACTGGAGGTTCTGGAAATGATAAACCAACACAGGAATGTGAAGGAAAAGGCAGCAATGATGGATTGAAGGCATGGCCATACTTCACTGAAGATCAATACATGCAGATCCTAAGCATGCTGAACAAGGAAACTCCTGAATGTCAAGCCAACATGGCAGGTATTTCTACCTCTTTAATGACAAACTTCCCTTGTACAAAATGGATAATTGACTCTGGAGCTACACATTATATTGTTGGTGATTTAGAGGCATTAGAAGTCAAAGACAAAGTATACATATAGAAATGAACAGGTTCACTTACCCACAGGAAAAAAGGCCAGTGTTTCAAACATTGGAAAAGCAATCATTCTTGATAAAGTGGAATTGGATGATGTGTTGTTTGTACCCGAGTTCAAATTCAACCTTTTGTTAATTTCGAAGCTAACTAGGCAACTATTATGTTCCGTGAATTTCTTTCCTGGCTTCTGCTTGTTCTTGGACCTTTACAGTGGCAAGGTGAGGGGGATTGGTAGAGAGAAGGGTGGTCTATATCGAAGAAAGGATTCAAGGGAGATTTGGACAAATTCATCAAGGGAATAAAACAGTTTGCATCCACAAGCACAAAGGAGGACGAGGAAGATGGAGCACTTTGGCACAGAAGATTAGGTCATGCTTCAGTTAGTACTATGAAGAATATAGATTTCTTTCATAATAAAGTTGTAGATATAGCAGTAAACAATGACTGCCCTGTATGTCCTCTTGCTAAGAAAAGTAGATTAGTGTTTCTTAGGAGTTTAACTACAAGTGAGAATCCTCTTTCTCTCTTGCATTTGGATGTCTGGGAACCATATAAGTATCCAACTCATGATAGGAAACACTTCTTTCTGACTATTATTGATGATAATACTAGATATACTTGGATACACTTGCTTCGCTTGAAGAGTGTTGTTATTATAGTACTTAAGAAGTTTCTTTATATGTTGCAAATACAATTTCAGTCTAAGGTAAAAGTAATCAGAACAGACAATAGGACAGAATTTTTTAATAAGCACATGAAAGAATTGGTTGACTATTATGGGATAATTTATCAGAGCAGCTGTGTGTACATTCCACAACAAAATGGAGTAGTGGAGACGGAACATGATAGAGACTAAGCGTCCACCAAACTGTATAGAGAATCAGGTTCTCTATCAGTTCCCACTGTAAGCAACAGACTGTAAAACCAAATAGTATAGGGAATCAGGTTCTCTAATTGTTCCCATAGTAAATCGGCAGTAAATAAAAAATATGGAGGAATTTTATGTGGAAAACTCCCAACTTAATGAGATTAAAAACCATGACCTACCCTTGTAGGATTTTAACTTCACTAGTAAGTAATCTTTAGATTACAACCTATTGTAACCTAGGAATTAACCTCTTAATCCCGCACTAACATGTAACTACACTATTACAAGCCATATTTGTAATAACTCTATTACAAAGACTTAATCACTCACTAACTTGTAACAATACTATTACAAGCCACTTTGTAATAACTCTATTACAAAGACTTCACAACTCGACTAACTCTAGCCAAGACACAAACACAAGGGTTTATGATTTATAAAGGGTTTCCTACATAATGCTTCTAACTAAGCTAAGTAGGAGTTACAAATGAAGAGCAAATAACAAAGACTCAACAAACCTAAGGACTTAAGATACCTTCAATCTTTGGATCTGGTCCTTGAGGTCGCAACAACTTTGTTCTTGAGAGAGGTTGTGGCTAGCACTTGAGAGAATATTTTCTTTTGATTTTGCAAGTGTTGGAGAGATGAAATCCCTTACCTCATGTTGATAATATTTGTGTGTGATGTCATCAAGGATGATGCAATAAAATGCCCTTTAGTTTGGCGTTAGCAAGCTACAGCTATGTTGTTGTACTACTACCGGATGGTATAGTGCAACAACCTGTCAGACGGTAAAGTGCAGCAACTTTTACAACTATAAAGTTGACTGTACAACGATGAGGGAAACTGATCCTATCTGGTCCCTCTACTGTTTCCTTATCTGATTTCATTGAGAACTGAACTAGACATCTAACTAGTTATTTTGAATGCAAGGGAACTTAATTGTATCACATTCCTTATCTGGTTCTCTCATGAAGTAAGTTGTTTTACCTTCCTTGATTGTATTTATACATGTGTGACATCACTTACAGTTATGTAAGCAAGGTAGGTAAAAAGTCTACCACAGAAAGTTGACTGTTGCACTGTTCCTGTACAATAACATATGCATGCAGCAACTTTATAGCTGGAGAGTTGACTTCATACACTCTCCTCGAGAACTGGTAGGGATGTGTTCCCTCAGTTGTTCCTTCCACTCTAAAGAGTTGAGTTATATCCCACGCTGGATCCCAACCTGGAACTTTGTGATCTTAAGGTCTTGTAAATGTATAACAGGTTCCTTATTTGGTTCTGGATGGTAAGTTTGTTAGATCATCAAAACATAAAGTA